TCCTTCCATCTTCTCCCTACTCATCTCCACATCATCTCAGTAACATCATCCATCATTTTTCTTCCTATCATCATAGCAAATACTTCACTTTTGCCATAGAAAATAATTCTGAAATTCGATTATCTTTCCTCTTTTATTATTTGAACATTCATGAAAATTCTTTGTGCAAATTCTTAGCCAACTGAAGAACCAGGAGTAGGCTTGAAGAAGGACTGATACTTTAGGGCAACAAGTGTTTGTTTTACAAAAGACTCTGTTTAATTTAAACACATTTTCTTGAAAACAAGGCCATTGACTAGGAATATAAAGCATGGTTGTTTCACATTTAGTTTTTCTTCAGGGTTCATTGGATTTGAATGTTTTTATTTTAAGTGACCAAAGTATGGCTTGCAATTTTCCCATGAAGAATGGTTTTCTCTGCTTGTTTGAGCTTCCTTTGCTTGTTGATCATGTGTGTTTTTTTGCCTCCCTGCCTCCCCAATCCAGTGGATGACACTGTTGTTGCTATTCCCTATGGAAGTCGTCATACTCGCCTAGTGCTGAAAGGTCCTGATCATTTATGTAAGTAAAAATACACTTTTAATATTGAAATACTTCTAATACTCTTTGGAATTCTATTTCAAACAAGGCTGTATGGCTCCTTTCTTTTTTAGGGACATTGGAACATGAACAAGGAGCTACAAATGTTTATAGGGAGACCATATCTGGGCCACAAAAGTCCAGATGACCACTAGATGCCATCTTTTTGCTTTTTGCTTTTTTTTAATGTTTTATTGATTTTATTGTAATTTCTTGTTTGTTGTGAGCTGGCCAGAGTCGTTGAGTCAGGCAGCATACAAGTTTAAATAATAATAACAACAATAACAATAATACCAGTTATGGTAGCCCTAGTTCATATGGAAGTACACTGCTTTTTTAAACCATAATCTAATCTTCCACTCATACATTTGTGTGTGTGTGTGTGTGTGTGTACATAACTTCTGTAAAATATGTTTCATTGGTTGATGAGAATATAATAAAGGCTACCCTGCTTTTGAGCTGAATTGCTCATGAGTTTAACACTTGTTCTTTTGCTTATCTTTGATTCTTTTGTTTTGTTCCATGAAACAACAACCAGATTATGCTATTAAAGGTGTTATCCATACAAGATAAAAATATGGAAGGAAAAAGATTGGGAGCCGTTTTGGTTGAATGAGTCTTCAGTTTTCTGAATTCAGAATGTGATTGACAGACTTATGAGACGGCATTCAGTTGATTGAAAGAGAAGAGACAATCTAAATGTAAAACAAAAATTGTGGATAAATCTCAGTTGTGTTGGCAGTTGAAGTTTGTTCCCCCCAAATTGGAGACTCATGGTGAAAACATACTGGTTGCTCACTCAGAATGTATGGTGATAGAAAAGAGCAGAACAAACTTTTCGTGACATTCTGAGCAGTTGCATTCTATCTTTCCTCTATGCTGCATATACAGATAAAGTTTTGGACAGAATGCTTTTCTTCCTAGTTGCCACGGTTGATTCCTAGCCTTGCTTGTCTTCAATACATTACGTGTTCTTCTCAATCTGTGTACAGGATTCTGAATGGCAGGAATATTCAGCAAGTTTCACTTATCTCCCTTTTTCAGTGTAAGAGTTAAATGGAGTTCTTTCTCCAATTATACTGAAAATATTGTAGTGTAACTGTATAGCATGTAGATATTTTAGAGTAGTAGATGTCTTTCAGAATTAAAAGGACTACCAGTTCTACAGAGACAGTAAAGACTTGCAGCTGGTTGTCAACTGTAAGATAAGCAATAGTAAAACTACAAAAGGGCAAAGAACTTTTGCAAAAGACTTTCATGCTGGCGTAATTAAGGATATTTTCTGATGGATTATATGTGGATTATATTCTATGTGTACTTGAAAAGCTACCATAAGTATATGCCTTTGTTCTTATGCGTGAGATTTATAATTGTGAATATTTATCAGCAGATTGCAGGTTATAAACTATAAAAGAAGGGAAAATATGTAATATATAATAGTAATAAATAAGTAGTATTTGGAGAATGCCTGGCTTGTACTCCTGCGGCTTTTATTTGACATGTATGCTGTTACTCAGACTGATAAACATTATCACTGTGGAGCTCTGCTGTCAATAGAATTAAGGAGACCAAGAGAGAAAGGCATTTACAGAAACCAGTGTCTAGAAGTGCAAAAGAGGGGGCAGGTACCTTCCACTAGGTTAAGGTGGGATTTTGTCCTGAGGCAATTTGTCTATTACTTTCATCACTGGCTTTAGTCACAGAATAAGGTTTTTGGTTTTTTTTAATGTTCTAGTTGTATCATGAAGCAAAAGTCTCTGTGTAGAACTACCAGAGTTGGGCTGCCAAAATCTGGACTATTATTAGATGGCTGCAAAGAGTTGTTGTTTTATGTATTGTCGAAGGCCACACCAGCCATCAGTTGTTGTTTTATTTCTTTGCTCTCTTGCTTACTATTAGCCACATGTTAGCTGCTAGGGGGATCTATATTAGGAAATGGGAAATTCCTTGTGAAATCTCAAGGGTCATGTAAAAGCTGGTAAAAACTATTTCTACTAGAAACTTGGGGAAGCAATTTTTTTAGACCACTGAGCATCATAGGCACTGTTACAAATGACTTTTCAAGGACCGCCCCGTTCAAAAAATTGTTGTAATGGAGGGTGTGCCTCGTCATGAAAAATCTGTTTAACTAAAAGGAAATAGTTGAATACGCTTCCACCAAGACTACAAATCTACAAGAATGTTTCTTTCATCTTGGCTTACTTTTGGTTTCTTTAGTGAAAAATTTCAAGTCCCCACATAGATAAGGCAGTACACAGCAAATCCAGGTACTCCTGGATTTGTAGGGGATGATGTAATATAATTTTGAGGATTCTAGAAAGACCCTGAAGGATTACTTGAGTATTGTAAGGTAGACTTACAATAAGTCTCAAAACATAGAACCAGTTTAACCCACTGAAACTGTAGTTGGAATAGCTATATAACATTAACTGACTTATCAAAGGTTCTGTATGTGCTTGGATAATAATACCTCCCCGTTCATTTCATGTGCCCCTATATAGATAACCAGTGGTGATACATGAAAGAGCAAATATATTAAAGGAAACAACATAATATATTAAAGTATATATTATGTATATCAGTAGGCTTTTGCAAGAAGAGAGTTTGTGCATGACTAAAATGGAGTACAAAGGCAAAATTAACCATATATGAGGCATCAATTGGATGAGTTAGTGCAAAATGTGTTCTGAAAGTATATATAGTAATGAGTGTATTCCTAGGAAGTAGGCAGAATACACATCTCATGAAGATCATGATCTTGCTATGTACTTGGAAAAGATATGTTCCTGTGGCAGGCAATGAGTACTTTATTACATTGGTCTTGGACAAATCTTGATAATGTAAACTTACAAAAAATATATATATAAAGCCTAAGGCATTGATTTCTTTAAAAGTTTGCATAGAAAAAATATGTCACTACATGTAGTATAAGGTTTATTACAGCCAAAAGAACCGAATATGTTGTTACATTTCATCATGACTTCTCATGTTTATATCTCATAGATGCATAGTTTAGATAAACCATAAAACTGTGGTTCTACGTAGCTATGAAATGATCTCTCCAGTATATTCAAAAGCTTTATGTATGTGTGCTCTATCCAAAACAGCACTAGCCACTGTTTTCTTCTTTGCACGTTCTCCTCTTACCCCATGCATTTCCAATTTCTCAAAACTGGCTGGGGTAGCAATTCAACCTCAACCCAAGGGAGGAGTGATATTCATGAATCTATCAAGTATCCTTAGATTAATTGGTACAATATTGTGAGTGCTTTTTGTAAAATGGAAAATGACATTTGAATCACTGTGGAAGACACATTATGAAAATATAGTGCTCCATGTCTACGCTATATTGAGTTTGGGGCTACCATTCTTTCTTTTGCATAGCTAAGTCTAGAGAAATCCTTTGCATGTGTTTACATATCAACACAATACTAGCTCTAATGGAAATAGTTCCATCTTACACAATACAGTAGATTAGTAGATAGAAGCAAAGAGAAAACAAGAGAAAATAGTATAAAGTGGAATGGATGAAGGTGTTAATAAAATGTTCACTAATAAAATCAAGTTAAAAAATGCTTCATATCTGTTGTTGTGCTTGGTGGCTTTCTCTCTTTGTGCCAAGGAAACAATTGTATACGACTTTTCAATGTGCTTGTATTTGTCAGATCTAGAAACCAAAACTCTGCAAGGTGTGAAGGGTGAAAACAGTCTCAGCTCCACAGGAACCTTTATTGTGGATAATTCTTCTGTTGAGTTCCAAAAATTTGCAGACAAAGAGATACTAAGAATGCCTGGCCCTCTCACTGCAGATTTCACTGTAAAGGTGAGAAGCTTGGAACAACTGTCAAATAATATAGCTTGCAATATTTATCCCTCCTTTGTGGTAAGTATGCTTATGTCATTGTCTTCACAGTACAGTAACTGTTCAATATGATTTTTTTCCTGCAAGTAAAATGTGCTATTCCAGGATGCCAAACACTTACTACTACATGGGAGTTGCAGCAATTCCTAGATTAGTGCAAGTAACATAGTCTATAACAGCATATGCTGCATTAAATCACATTATATTAGACCTCTGCCCCTTGGCCGCAACCCCCCTCCTCCCTTTTCAGAACTGCTTCAGGAGAATTATTAAATACAGGAGAACCTCTTGAATTGCTAAAGTATAAAATGAGCAGAATTGAGCTCTGCAGTTCATTACAGTGAGCAAACTAGCTTTGGTTGAGAAATCATCAGATAGCTTGGAAGCTCTGTTTGTGTAGAACTGGCAGTAAGAGTCAAGTTGTTTCTTCTCATTAATGTTTTCCTCTCATTAATTTTCTCCTATTCTTCCAAGTAATTGAAAACACATTGTTGAAAGTAAAATACACATACTATAGAGAGGCTAAAAGGCACAGTGGAATGTAAGCTTTTGAGAATTACAAGAAAATAAAACATTTTGGAGCAGATGGAGAAGGGTCAGAAGGGCCTGGTGATTTTCAGATATAAGCTGTACAAGCTATATCATGTTTAGGGTGCCATCAATTTTTCATTGGAGGACTCCAACGAAAAGGGTTTGATGCTGTGATCTCTGACAGTTAGAAATGCAGATTATGCTACAAAGGGGATAGGCGATTGGTTGTGCTGGTTTCATTGCTACATGATTTAGGCACTCTTAAGCCTGGACTGAAAGGGCCAGTGAAGTCTCTGTCTTCCAGTTTGACTCCAAGCATGTTGATAGGTCAGTAGCCAGACAACATAGAAGCTTTTCTCCCATCTTAAGGTGAAGAAGAGGCAGGAAATCCTCTTCACCCGCAAGTCCCAGGTTAGGAAGAAGGTTACAGACCATCACACTCTTCAGTTAGTCTTGGCCTAGTTGTGTGAGGCAGAATGAATGAGGGTGTGCAATTATGTAAGTCTGATACAACCTTATCTTTCTGCAAATTAGGTTGTTAGCCTGGAAATCTATCAAAGCTATAGTGATTGTTACAGTGCACATAGAGGAAATTGTGTAGCTTGTATTCTAGACAATTATTCCTATAGTCCAGTAATCTGTTTTATGAATACAGAGATCCTGGAATAAATGAAACCACTAGACATTTGCTTTTAGTAGCACAATATATTAAGAAGTAATACTTTTAATAGTAATAATATAATACAATACACATAATATATAAATCAAGATTCATTATTATTAATTTCTCTGGTTTGCTTAGAGTCTTTAAGAACTTCATCAAAAAGTGAAATCCTGGTAATTAAACAATGGGGCTTGGATCTTTACATTCCCAATTTTATTGCTAACTATTGGCTTCATATATAGATGTGACAAAATGCAAATACAAGTGGATTTTTCTCTCTCTTATTATATATATAGCACTCTGAAGGAACTCCGCCTATATCTTTTCTTTCTCTTAGAGCTTTGTAAAAATGCAATCTTAAAACGGTGGCTAATCCTGAGCTTGAAAACCTGGTTTTCACAAAAACTCCTTGAGGTCTTTCCTCGGGTGTTAAATAATTTACTTTAAAATCTCTCCTCCCACTCCCTGGGAAATTGAAATAATATAAAAGCTACCATTTGGTCATCATCAGTAAATAGATGTACTACTACTCTGATTCAAACATCTTTATGTTAATAGTTAATATACATAGTTAAAGCAGACCACAACCTTGCCTCTATGCTGCAGAACTAGCTTCTAGCTTCCTTCTCTGCTCAGGTGTTTGCTTGTGTATATGCACACACACACACGTTCCACATCTGCCTCCTTTCCTAGAGGTCCTTTTGGAGCTCCTGAGTACAGGTTGGCAGTCTTAAAGACACTGCATATACCAAACAGGCTGCTCAGCTCTCCCAGCCAAACAATCCAAATTCTTTTCTCTCTGGATTGATTTCTTCAAGTTTCCTCCTTGATCTCTGCAGTCACTAACCATATGTCTCATGTTGCTGGACTTGGACTCAGTGTCCCTCTCCGTCCCCCCAATCCTTGTCCAGCAGCTGCTTGCCTTTGGGCTAAATGTCTGTTTTGCATCCCATATCATGCCATGTATGTTTGTAATGCATGGCTATACCCCTTTTCTTTTCTTTTATACTATGCTTTCCCTCCTCCCTTCACTTAATCTCCTAACTTTTGTTTCTATGGTCTAAATCTGTTTCCTTAGTTCCTATCCCCGTGCTCTGATTAGCTTTTGGGGCCCCTAATCTTTATTGTGTCTCTTCTCTGGCTGCAGCCAACAGTCTGTCTTTTCCTCTAATCTCTTATTTTGGTTTGCTGTATCCTGCCACCAGCAATCCCTTTCCCCCTTCCTTAACAAAAGAACCCCCTTGCATTCTCCTCACAGTACATACAAATTCCCATTGGATCAAACTTTGTCTCTATTTGTTGCTCCCAGACTTTTAAAACAACTGGGACTTCTATAATTAAAGGAATTAAAAGGATACTACAGGTAGTCCTCATTTAGTGACCACAATTGGGACCAGCAACTAGGTCATTAAGCAAAGCAGTTTCTAAGTGAAGCCGTGACTGTGCTCATGATCTTACTTCAGCTTTCCTTTGCTTTACAGACCTGTGAAGGTCATAAATGTAAGGACTGGTCACAAAGTTACTTTTTCATCACCATCGTAACTGAACAATCGCTGAACAAGGGGATTGCTTAAGAAGGACTACCTGTATGGTATCTTTTGCTGCAGAAAAGCTCTTGAAATCTTTATCAGAGTGGGTCTGAATATTTTCATTTAGCAAAATTAAGTGACCAAATTAGATACAATTCCGGTTTTGCAAGCGTTACATTCCTCAGTTTACCAGAGCATAGAAACTAAAGAGGTTTATTAACTTTATTAATGGCAGGTTGCTTTTGCTCTGAATTGCAGGATGCAGATGTATGCAAATGCTATAGAAATTAATATGAAAATAATTCTGGATTTATTCAGTTGACAGAATTTCATGTACTATCATTAAATAATGTTAAAGCAGTATTGCTTGATGCTATGGCATTGCTGATGCTGATGCTGAAAGCATGCATATACTGCAAATACATACTATTTTTATGTGTGTCATTATCGTATATTTCTGGAAATTGTACTTTGCTGAAAATTTTCTGTTAGCAGCCTGTAGCTTTTACTCCACCCACCTCAGGTCTATTCATAGTATCTTCTACTGAATAATGACTAACTCTGCAATTCTGAGTACATTACTTTTATTATTAATTTAAAAAAATAACTTTTCTATGTTTACACAAAAATGTTGTTCCTTTAAAATAGCAGAAGAATCCTTGCCCATAATAGGAATAGTAGTAGGAATCAGTGATTGGATGGGTAGTTAATTAGTTAGTTGGAATTTGCAAATTAGGTATAAAATGGACAAATACTGTATTAAAGTATTTATGAAGTATTCAGTGCCCTTAAGTGATGGCCTGTTTCTCTCTCTATATGACAGAGAGTATTTTCTAGTAGAAGGGGTGTAGGTAGTTTTTGGTCATTCCTCTCCCCTTTCATCTCTAAGTATCAACTGTTTGTTGTTCAGAAGATTTTGCCAGCCTTCTAGAGCAGTTGTGGAATGAGATGGGGGAGATAAAAAGTAGGTGTCTGAAAATGTTGTAAATCTTTTAATTGAGATCTCTCACCAGAAAGATCACAATTGGATACCAACCTTTCTATTTATCTTGCTACGTTAGGCTGATTTTTATGGAGACAATAAAAGATAATATTGACTAACCTCACTTTGGAATTCTCCATTTATATATTTCAAATTTGGTCACCACCCATCTCGCTGGAAAGTGACTCTGGGCAGTTTATAGTAAAAACAAAAATAAATATTAATTAAAATACAATAAAAATAGAATAAAAATAGAATAAAAACCATATTCATACATAAATGTATGAGTGATACATTTTAATAATAAAACAGAAATTTTATAAATCCAGATACTCATAACTCCAGTTGAATCTGGATGTTACTTTTTATTTGCATCTATTTCAGCTGGGCTTCCATAGGAGATATACTGTTCAGCCTGCTTCAGTTGCCTGGTTGAATGACCTATGCTGAACCCAGAATGGGATAGAACATTTCTGATAATTTTCCTTAATATCTCAAATTGTGGTGGTATATAACCATGATGCCTTTCTGAATCCTCTGGCTGGATTAGGCCTTGGAGATACTGCTTTGTAGTAATTTTTATCTTTCCTGTGTCAAAAGGTTGTCCAACATGTGCTGCAGCCTGTTCTTCAATCCCTAAGCAGATGTCCTGAGGAGCCTTTAAGGTTCCAACTTTTCCTCCATGCTGTTCAATGATCAATCATAGCTTTAGAGTGAAGTACAGTGGAGCTGAGAATGAATAACAGTTTAAATTTGCAGTTCTCTCTAATTCAGCTCTTGTTCTTATAATCTGAAAAATCTGGATGGCTATTGATTACTTATTCCTAGGTTAGGAAATGTTGCCTGACTTATTTGGGTCAATTTATTCAAGGTGACTTCCTTAGTTGCTGTTGCCCAGGGGCCCATTTTAATGCCTTCTATAGGAATGTGACTTACCCATAGTAACAGTAGTAACTATTGCCTCATGAATTATAAACAATAAAAGTCTTCATAACTTGATAATTATCATTCTGCTAATAACAATTTAATAGCCAGATAAACTTGATTAATATCACAATTAAAATGGAAAATGTAGATGGCACACACTTGAGAGACAGATATAACCTTTGTGCATCATCTTATGTCAGGCTACTGTAAACTCCACCAGGAAGAAGTAAATTGAAGGGTCTCTATTGCCAAAATCCAGAGAATTTGGTTTAATGATAGGAAGTGGATTGATCTGATTAAAACTGAAACATGCTTCAGAGTGTCAGTGTCATTATAATTGCTACGAAGATGTTTCAAATCACCATTCGCTATCCTAATTCCAAGTATCAGATGATTTCTTCATTTTCTGATTTTTATCAAGAGCCCTGTTATTTACAAGTCAATATGATGTTTAATCAAAGCTGACAGCTATTAATTCAAAAGGAATTTAAGGAGTGGCCTATGTTTTCTAGTGTTTAGTATCCCCCAAAATCTGATCAATTATCTAGAAACAAAGGAGAAGACATTGATTTCTTTCTCCTGTCCAGGACAAATTATATATTGTAGTGAAGTTTTGATGCCAAAGAATCAATGAAAGGAAACTCATGCACATTATTTAATTTTTTTTGAAATTAGGTAACAATTTAAGCAGGTTTATCCAAAGTCTCAAATTCTGATACTTATTTCCAAACTAAAATGTTTAGGATCAATCAGTAAACTAATGGTGTGGTATTTTTGAGTTTTGCACTTACAACAGTGGGTAAACTTGCCTCAAATAATAACCCAACAGTGCTAAGAATGTTGATTCATTGGTAACAAGCAAGTTGGTGGTGCTTTATCAGTCCCAGCTGGCTCCTGCTGCACATGGAAGCAGATGCAGTAACCAGAACATACCAGCCACACAAAGTTTTATCTTGTGCCTGAATCTATAGGTTTATTTGTCATGATTAACTAGGAAATTTCTGGTAACCAAGAAGGAGAAGCTGTCAACCAGCTTGCTTTCTCTTTAATAATCAGCTTTAGTCTCAAAAAATTTCATTTGGTCATGGAATAAAAATGAACTCAAATAGCCATTGTTTTGATTGTACCTATTATCCATGAGAGTTCTTTCATAATGCATATTTTATGGCAAGCATTTCAAGAATTGTATCCAAGTCTTCTTTTATTTATCTTATCTCTTGAACTCCCTCCAGAATTTTGGCAAACTATGCTTAAACAGTGGGTGGAAATTGGCAAAAAACCCTCCTAATTTATAATTGTATGTCATTATTGTCATTAAATGTATACAGGTAGTCCTCGCTTAATGACCATTTAATGATGGTTCGAAGTTACAGCGGCCTCAGAAAAAGTGCTTTACAACTTGTACTCGCACTCATGACTGTCGCAAACCATCACACCATCCCCGCAGTCATGTGATTGCAATTTGCAACCTTTTTTACAAAGGTCGTTAAGCAAATTGCCGCAGTCATTAAGTGAATCACGTGGTCATTAAGTGAATTCCGGCAAAAAAGTCCATTGGAGAAGCTGGATTCATTTAATGACCATATGATTCGCTTAATGACTGTGTTGATTCTCTTAAAGACCATTGTAAAAATGGTCATAAAATCGGGTCCTGTCACATGGTGACTCGCTTAACAACTGCCCCGCTTAACAATCAATTTTCCAGTTCCTATTGTGGTAGTTAAGTGAGGACTACCTGTATCCCATTTTTCCACTGTGATACATGTTTTATTCTTAACAATGAAATACAGTACAGAGAAACAACAAAATTAATAATGACTAATTAAGTAAAAACAGATGAACAACAAATAATTGTTGGAACATAACCTTATGCGCAAGAGGGAAAAGGGCTCTGCCAAATAGTCTCATGACTTGACAGTATGCGTCTGACACTACCTTCCCCAAAGGTATCTATCTGTATAGGGCAGACATTCAGATTTATAGCTGAATGTTCAAAATCTTTAACCCAAATAGGAGACAGCTCTATGGGATCAGGGGGGCATCACACTTACCAGGGTGAGTGATAAAAATACTTGGCACGGCTCTATCTCTACAACTTATTGAGGAGTACAATTGGGTAGTACCTGAGAATCTGCAGAAACTACTTTGTTTCAATACTATAGGCTCTTATTCCTGGCTTGGCCTTTAGGGGTAGTTTAAATTTCAAAATATGAACAACGATAGCCAAAAACATTTGGTGTTAGGTAATGTGAGCAACCAAGTTCAGAACCAGCTGGTCAATATCTGGTATATCCCCCCCGCCCCAGCTACCAGACTGCAGAGCCCAAGAATAATCTCTCACCAAACAAAATGTTGACAATTTTGTAATCATTGTATTCTATCCCATGTATCTTTTTTGAAACAATAAACATCAGTTTTTCTTATTTCTTTTCCCTCATTCACCTAGTAATGTTATTTTTCCATCTGTGGTTAATTGCAACATATTCCCACCCAAGGGTGGTGGTGGTGGTGGTCCAGGCTGTATGTATAATTTCCCATTTCATTTGGGAGAAAGATCTGCATCTGTCTTTTCTCCATGTCAGAGAAGACAGATAATCAAGCAGACAACACAACAAAAATCCTTGGGGAGATAGGTTGTTATGTCTTCCTGACTTTTGATGTGGAACCTTCCCAGCCCCTTCTCTTAGGCCCTATGTAATCTCTCTCCTCATTTATCATGCTCTGCCTGGGACCTCACACACATGAAATTTTTAAGGTTCAGGCAACACTGTTGGTTTAATTCTTTTTTTTTTTCCTTTTTCCTTTTCTGTTTAGTTAGCAATTTTTCCCCAATGCTGTTGTTAATCTGTGTTCAAACTGGAAGTTTCAAAGAGCTAAGAGCATTGACATCTTGTATGTCTTCCCAGATCCATTGGGCTTTTTTGTGGCTCCAGATCCATGTGTGATTCATGTATTGTCTTAATGCAAGGAATTAGAAACCTTTGCTGAACAAAATGGTAGTGATCTCCTCCACTACTTAGAAACATGTAATGTTTCAGCTGTAGCTCCTTTTTCCTTCTGGGAATATGCATCACTATTAACTTGATTAAAAGAAAGCTGCATGCTCTCATCAGTAGACTAAAACTTTTATATCCTTCAACATACCTCGAGCACTTCTGCCTTTCTCTTTTATGACATTTTGTTTTTTGCAACCTATACATTCTGTTAGGTACTGTGTTTCTCTTCTTTTTTGGAGAAAAAAATAATACTATCTCTGTTAGTTTCCTTTTTTTTTAACTTATTTAATTCTTCTAACAATAGAATAATTTTTGAGCCAAGGGAACAGGCATAGAAAGTTACTTTATACAGAGTCATGTAACTCAGGATTATCTACATCAGCCTTCTCCAAACCCATACAAGGGCAAAACCCACGTTGGTTGGAAATGCTAGGCCTCTTGTTCCCAATATATGTGCATCAGTTTGTAAATGCTTGTCTATGCTGACCAGCAGAAGTTTCCCAGGGTTTCATGTAAGTCTCTTTCCAGCCCTATCTGGAAACATTATGTTTGAAGACCTGTGGTCCACATTCTGGCTTGGGAATAGTGAAATGGCCTTCTTTGAGTGCTCTTTGTCAAAACATACCTGATAGCTTTTAGAAAGACATTACTTCTCTTTGTGACAGCATTAGGAAGCTGATATTCAGATGTTTTTATTTGCTTAGTTATTCATCTAGGGAGTAAAATACATAATAGAATAATTACCCCATTTTAATAGAAAATATTGTTGTGGAGTAATGATTCTGTGCCCACAGAATAGAAGAGGCTAACCAATAAAGATAAAAATTGTTAGCCTTGCAAGACAGATGGCAGGGCTAAAAATATTACAGTATTTATACCTTTAAAGGCAAGCATTACACAGTGCATCTATTTAAATGTTGAATTGCCATTTCTCCATTTTGAAGCTCCTTTGCCTGAGTGCTGAATTTATGATAGATGCTTCTTGGGACAGAACTTGCTTATCCAGAGATAATGGTGGAGGACCTTTGCTTATTACAGCTGAAGTCTACATTGTTAAGATAATATGTTTTAGAAGCTATTTTTCTAATTATACCTGGATTACAGACTTATAACTTTACCTGTAGCTTTTCTTCTTTTCAGATCCATTATGCTGGTGCTGCCGACAGTACAGTTCAGTTTATTTTCTATCAACCTATTATCCACCGATGGAGAGAAACGGATTTCTTTCCTTGTTCTGCATCCTGTGGTGGAGGTAATGAATGATATCACTGTGTTCCACATTGCAGTTCTAAACAGCACTGATATACAACAACTAGGTTTTTTTTTGTTTTTTTTTCATGGAAATAAGCTCCTTCCTCCCTTCCTTGTATTCGTTTTTGGTTGTAAATATTTGTAGACTCTTTATTTTGAAATTGTGGAAGTGCTGATTTGTCTTTAATTACCATTCATGTACAATACAATGCAGCTACCTCCAGAAAGGTCTTTGAAGAAAAAGTTCTCATATTTCATTTTCAATGTGTTCTTTTTAAAATAAATTGTATTTTTGTAAAGACTAAATAGAAAAGTGACTCGTTATTAGATACTTATAATCCCAGTTTTAATATCACTTACTACTTACCTTGTTTTGTAGTCTTACTTCACAACCTATATATCTTTACCTGATTATTCCATATTTATAAAACCAATTACTGAGTACAATTTCAAAGTATACTTCCTTAAGGTAATTGTTGTATACTCATATTTTCTATGATGAAAGAAGAGTTGAACTCATGCATTTTTTTTAATTTCCAAAAAAGTTTATTTCCTTGATTGCTGCCTAGGTTAGCAGGAATTGATCAATTCAATCAAATCAAGATAGGACAGAAGGGGTAATGATCAGTTTGAATCTAGCCTTGGGGTCAGCATTTATAATATGGATAGAGCTGCACAAAGAGCAAGTCCATCGTTTGGAACTGCTCTTTGACCCTTGATCTCTCTGGGTTTTTAAATGAAAAGTGACGGTGGCAAGGAGTGTGTCACTACATCTGGTACATCCATTGTTGTTGTTCGGAGTTGGCTGAACAGATTTTAAAAAGTCAGCCCATGGCTGAACTTTGCTGCCCAGGTAGCATTGCTATCATTTTTTTCAAGGCAACCAGTTTTGTTTTACTGATTCCATAATATATTCATTGTCAGACCTGTAGCTTGCCTAAAATATGACATCCAAGTTATTAGCTATCCTAAGGCAAGTGAACGGGGAAAGGTTAATAACTTACTGTATGATACTGAGCGCTATATATGATGCATTCTTAGTGCACTTGAAAGTCTATAGTTTGACCTTTCCAGTGACTGTTTAATAATTTTTGAAGACTCCATTTCGTTGAAGTGATTGTCACCATGGCTCATAAATAAAGCCTCAGAGGGAGCTATCCGGTCTTTGTGGTCAAGGATAGTAGCACCTTCTCTGCAGAAGAGACAGTTGGCTTCTGGTAATTGAAATTAGATAACAACAGCCGATACTCCCATATAGGAAATTAGAGATGGGAAATGAGAAAAATGCACAGAAGGAGACTTTCATTGAAGAATGCAAAGCTGCGCTTCAAGGGAAAAGATAAATCACCCAGAACTTATGAGTAGCTAGGGAGATCTTGTACTCTGTTTTTTATTTCTTTATTATGTTCATTTTCTATACTCAGTCTTAGAAGTTCAAGATTTGTATAGAAAAAAAGCAACCTGGTGCATTAAATCACTAAAAGAAAAGCATAAAATATCACAATGTGGTGTGAACTAAGTGGAAGCGAAGAATCACCTTTCATAGACAGGGAAGCACAGCTAAATTACAAACAACACAATATCCACCAACTGCAAACAGTATCCATCAACTTTGAATGATAATTTATGTGTATTTGATTTATTTTTAAGTTATGTTTCTGGAGTTAAAAATATGTAATATATGATATTTGAATTGCATTCTTAAAATGTATACCCATGTATGAACATACTGGATGAGCAGTCAGAGAGCCCAGGGCTGTATTTAGCCCCCAGTTCCTTTGCAATTTTAGGAGCCACCTTAGTGATAATGGATGGAAACTGCTCCACTGTTGTGCAGTAATACAGTCATTAAAACAGATTTAAGATGCATAATCAAACAATGAAAGCACCCATAAACTAACTAAACGTGTGTGTGTGTGTGTTGCTTACACTAGTACATGTAACACAGCCCTATTTGTACCATCCTCCATCCACAGTGGCCCTCAACTTCCTCAAAAGTTTTAAGTGCACCTCCCCTGATCTGCAAGACTGCCATCACTGTTTATGTATATTACCAAAGAAGGGACATTTAATTTTTTTCATTTTTAAGTTGTTTTTCATAAGAAAAAAAATCATTGTATAAAATCAGATTGGAGAGTGTACATTGGCTATAAATCAACATGTTTTTAGTCATAAGATCCTCTAACAAGATATACAGTATTATGCTAGCAGATATGGTTATGCTTAGAAGGTGTATGTGCTGTGTCTTAGTTTTGCATTACAAACCATAAATGACATTTCTTGCAGAATGTTAGTGTATCAGGTTATAATTGGTCTGCCCATGAGACCTAATTGTTATTCACATCAGTAGATGTTTGCTTGTTGATGTGGAACTGCATAGCTGTCTTTATCTTTACTCAATCTGAATTTTTTAAAGGTTATCAGCTTACATCTGCTGAATGCTATGATCTGAGAAGCAATCGAGTGGTAGCTGATCAGTATTGCCACTACTACCCTGAAAACATCAAGCCAAAGCCTAAACTTCAGGAGTGCAACCTAGATCCTTGTCCTGCAAGGTACATCAGTTAACAATTCTGAGATGCAGTTTATACTGAAACACAAGCAAACAGGTTAATTATTTTATTTTTAAACTTCTCAGAGGGTTATTAAGATTCTCTAGTCATGTGGATAGAATGCCTGTGTTACATTTGGTCAGCAACAAAAAAAAATAGTGTCTTACTAATCAAGAGCTAAATATTTCCTCATTGAAACAAACTAGCAAACATCTCTAGAGCTGTGGAAAACTAACATGGCATAACATAAAAGAAGGAATTTAGATCAGCCTCATTCTGTTTGATGGGATCATTTTTGAATGAGCATTCAAACATTTAATTTTTTAATCATGTTATGAGTAGTAATAAGAACTAAGAAGAACTAAGCCATAAGATTCACAGATTATACAATGACAGGAGAAGTTTGCAATAAAAAAGGGTTTCAAAAGTAGTGTTTTCTATTTTTAAAATATCTCAATATAATTTATAATAACATTTTATATTTATATTTCAGCTCAAAAGTTGAATTAAAAAGGAAAGGAAAAGATAGAACAATATGGAAAGAGATTGTGCAAAACAGGAGAAATTTAAGGTTAAGTCACTATTGGATTTAAGGAAAGAACATGAGCCAAAAATGTTAACCACAGAAAATATTGTATGAAAAAGAACCAAGAGAGCAACATGTCAATGGTTTTTCTTTCTGCAGTCTCACTGAAAGAAATTCCTATGGCCTATAGAAAATATCTTACATTCCATATAAGCATCATGAAGCTCTGGTGTCTGGAGAAAAAAAAACGAATATCAGGCACAAGACATGGATAGAGTACAGGTACAACCCAGGCTCTGAATGCTGTACAAGCCAGATAATTAGAGAAATGGAGCCCACATACTATATTTGCAGACAAAACACCTGGCTGTCCAAAACAGGTGTAGGTATTTCTTTTTGTCATTCTTTTTATAACAAATGGCTCATATATTCCATTTATTTCTGAGAATTTATCTTGATGTTATTTTCCAGTTGAGTTTTGTACACAGTCTGACAATTCAAAGGCAGAAATGTTAAGATAGGTAGCTGCATGGTACAGGCTAATTAAGAGATGGAGAGAGATGGAGAGAGAGCGTGCGCAAAATCCTTCTGAACAGATACCAGAAGTAATTTCAGAACCACAGATCTATGTGGTTGAGAGGGATCCATGGTGCAGGGTGCTTGGTGTCCTATATTTTGCACCCTTAATTTCAGGGCAGGGTGGGAGAGAGTAGAAGGTGAGCACACAGCAATGTAAAAAAAACAAATACATGTGCAAACAACTGAAAATGGCACTGATTGGCACTGAAAAAGAGAGCCATTAGGAGCCTTTTAAAAACACAAGGGCAATGTTGATAAAGACCTGTATCACCTTTGCCAACACTGTTCCAGTATATGGTGAGGCAGCAGATGCAGAATCTTATAGTTAAGGGATTCTCCTGCCCTTCAGGATCTTTACGACAACAGCTTGTCCCTTGCATTGGACAGAAGATTGCAATTGTGCAGTTATGGTTTGGGATGGCTAAGGATAATTTAATGTTAGAATGAGGATAATTAAAAAGACTTATAATTCAGTTTGTGGAAACTGAAGAAGGGTATAAGTTCTTTGCAGTATGAACATCATTACCTGTGATTTGGATCCATGTCTCTCCTGGCTTCTTTAAGGAGTGGGGGGAAGGGCAGCTTGAGTGGGTAGATTCAAGAAATAGTTAACAGTTCTTTGAGACAGGGCATGATAGTGGTGTGCCCTCTCTTAACCAAGCCATATCTCAGTCCAGCCTTATATGAAAACTATTATCTTGTCTCCAACCTGCCCATTTGGGGAAGGTTGTAGAGAAGGCAGTGGTGGTTCAGCTACAGAGGGCCTTAGATGAAGTGGATTATCTAAATCCATATTCAGACTGGTCATGGAACAGAAGCAGCAATGATCACTCTAGTTGGATAAACTACATCAGGACCCTGAGAATGATAATGCATCCCTCCTGGTCCTGTTAAAACTTCCAGCAAATAGTATTGGCCATACTTCTATGGTGATCCATTCCTATTGTAGTGGGTGGTTCCAGCCAGTAGTTGGGTGGGGAAGAGACACAATCTAACCAAAGTACTGCAGGGCTCAATTCTCAATTCTCTGTAGTACATATGAAACCACTAGGGGAGGTCAACCATCAGTTTGAGGTAAGATATCATTAGTATGTTGATGATCCTCAACATTACATTTTCATACCAGTTTAAGTTGATTATTTTGCTGTTCGGCTGTTTTGAGAACTGTCAGCTGCCCATAGTCTTTTGACTTTCATCTCTGACCTTGGATGGGATAGCACTTCCCTATTCAAGGATGGTGCACAGCTTGGGGGGGTCTTCCTGAACTGTCAGCTCCTGCTCAATGAGCAGGTGGCAGCTGTGGACAAAAAGGCCTCTGCACAACTCCATCTGGAGTTGCGTCCTTTTCTAGATCAGGGAACCCTTCAGAAAGTCATTTATGCCCTGGTCATCTCATGGCTTGACTACTGCAATGTGCTCTACATGGTGCTGCCCTTGAATACCACCTAGAAGCTGCAGCTCTTCCAGAATGCAGTGGCACAAGCAATGATGGGCATGCCTCGGTATACCCATGTACCACCTTTGCTTCACGAGCTGCACTGGTTGCCAGTTTGTTTCCGGGTGCAATTCAAGGTGCTAATAATAAAGCCCTACGTGGCATGGGGCCTGGTTACCTGAGAGACCACCTATCTACCATAGTATCTGCCCAGCTGAATCAATCTGGCAGGGTTGGCATGTTTCGGATTCCTTCAATTCAGCAATGCCATCTAACAGGACCTCAGAAGCATGCCTTCTCTGTAGCAGCACCTGCCCTATGGAATTAGGTTCCCTCTGAGATCTGAATGGTCCCCATCCTGCTGGTATTTCAAAGGGGCCTGAAGACTTGGCTCTTCACCCATACCTTTTGTGAGGATGACTGAAGCCTTCTTTTAACCGAGGTTTTCTTTGGTTTTCATCTGGTTTGTTATTCTGCCATCTCTACCCTTTTTTGTTTCATGTGTTAAATCATTTGTATACCACCCAGAGTCTCTGGGAGTTGGGCAGCATATTATTATTATTATTATTAATAATAATAATGATAATGATAATAATAATAATAATAATAATGTTTTTATAATATACCTATTTAAATTTGAGACTTCCTTAGTGCTCTCTTTCTTTGAGAGGAGAGTGCATGGATAAGTACTTATTTCTGTTCATCCCTCTTACTTACTACAATTTGGGGTGATAATGATAAGATGGGATACTAAATAAAGGCAGAAGTAGGGAAATCACCCCACTTGACACGTTATCTCATGGAGCGCAAGGAGCCAGAGCAAGAGTACTTTTCCTTGTTTTCCCCTTTCCACCATTAGCTATTCACAGAAGGAGGATGCTTGAAATGGGCTCTGTCTATATGGAAATATCTGGACGTTCTTCCAAGGTAAAATGACCGTGGAGACCGTGCTTTTGAGCAGAGGAACTGAAAAAGAAAATAGTGCTTAATCGTTCTGTTGCTTTCTGCTCAGTACATACAGTGGGATACCAAGCTGCTATGCTCAGTAGAATATGGGTCTCTCTCATCAAATGTGAGAAGGAAAGAGCTGTGTATTAGTCATTATCGTGGATAAAAACATGCATTGGAAGAGGCTCCTGACAGAATGTTTTCTTTACTAATCAGAGAGGTCTCTTCAGTTTATTTCAAGTTGGCAGATTCTGCTGGAAATTTCTTAACAGATTTCCCCTTATTCTGTCATCACAATACTGAAAAGTACTTGAATAGATAGTAATAATGAGGCAAATGTAACAGCAAATGTATATTCCTATTTCCATTACATCCATGCTCAGAAGACCAATCAGAAATGGCACATTTTGTACAGCAAGGGCCTCTGCAAGTTTGAAATTTGTGGATGATCCAATCTAAAGAAGAGCTAGCTACCCTTGTAAGCCACAATCACTAAGACCTGTGTGTGGACCAGAGGAGCAGGAGAAGCATGGCTGATGTCTTCCAGTTCCTGCATGGCCAGTGACCTGGAAAGGATTATACAGTTGTACCAGGGCCTCTAGAATGTCCCCTAAGATACAATGCTGGACATTGATGGACCTTCAGGATTGAAAAGGACTGAATGGTACAAAGGCCTTTATAAATCCTGCAATCAATGTTGACTTGATCTCTCCCATTGGTTACCTCTGTTTGCTTGTCAGTGATATATCTTTGGTATGATATTGGTATTACTTGTCATTGATATGGGAAGGTTTTTTAACTGTGACACAAATAGGTCTTGATGCTTAGAATTTTTTCTTAAATTTTCAGCATGTTTTACAGTATATTATATTTTAGTCATAGTTTGTAGAGGGTAGAGAATAAGGCTGGATCCATTGTGTGGGTCATTAAGAGTTGGGACATCCTACATTCCAAACTGTTTATGTGGTGATTCCTTTGATCTTTCAATAGAGAGGTTTCTCCTTCACACAGGCAGTATTTGAATAGATAGTAATAGTGAGGAAAAAGAAATGTATATTCATGTTCTAGTTCTTGTGCATAAATGGGAAGGAAGGAAGGAGTAAAAAAGGAAAAGCAGAGGATTTGCCTGTTGTAGGCAACTTGCTAGACACTTGTCTATATATAGCCAATGATATGAAAAGTGAAAAAAGTATGTAAATGAAGCACATATTTAAATCTGTTGCGTCAACATGAATTAAACCAATATAGGGAATTGAACTCAATTCATTCAAATACTATAGGTATTTAGAGGATGTCTGTAAAGAGCTACTCCTCTGGTTCCTACTGTGGAATAAACTTACTCTGGGAAGAACAGACATGGAAGCTTTAGGATTTTTAAAAAATGTCTTTTAGGCTAAAAATAATTGCAGTGAGAATGTATCACTGCTTAGTATTTGTAGTGGCTTTAAATTTTTATTGAAGTGTTTTCTAAGGTTGAATAGAGCTCAACCTCAAAAGTTGTTATTCCCTGCCCAGTCTGAATTTCATCTAACTCATTAAAATAGATGAAAGAAATGATTTTTCTCTCTTCTGCTTTGTGTATCAGAGAGAGAAGAAAGAATATACATAATACATATTTTTAATTCTTTTTTCTGTTTCCATTTAAAGTGGCTTTGCATGTTCCAAGTATCTCAATAATTTGGGAAGTTAAATTGCTCATTCATCAACATTGTTTGTGACCAGGAAATAAAAACAAAAGACACTTTCTGTATTCTTGATTTACCAGAACTATGCAAACTCTGTCAGTGCTGATAGGGAGGAAATAAAATTCAAATCTTCACACACACCCTTAACACACACACAAACACACAGAGAGGCATACACACAGACACCACAGCTTCTGCTGCTGGAAAACTGATAGTTCTTCCATTAGGGAGATTGAGGTAGATATTGAAAGGAGGCAGAAGAAGCCCCCTGCCTTTATTGATTCATTGCCATTTTCCATCTGTTGAGGGACAGAGTTGTAAATGTTGTGAACCCCCTAAACTAATCTTCTGACCTTAGGTACACTGGAAGATACTGTCCTCTTACTGGTTGCAGTTCGGTTCACTAATGTACATGGAGGAATGCCAGCTCCCCTGTTATCTATCTTTGGCTGGCACAATAAACATAAGAAGATAAGCAATGATTACAGGAACAGTTCCCAATCATGGTAAGTTCCTGCAATTATTGAACTACCACTATGGGGAAAATAAAAAAGAATTGCCATTATGAATTGGCAGAACTGGCCTCCATGAAATAAGTCATTCTCATGCTAGCTTCACTGTGCAATTTGGATTACACATGTGATATTATACTCACTGTATGGTTTGGTGCCTAACAACTCCCAGTAAAATAAATTGGGAGTATAATTACCTCCACCTAAATCTACAGGTAGAGATGAGTGCTTTGGTAGCTAGATGGTAGTTTTCATAATACAGTGAACCTTTGATGGACCTCAATTTAGTGAGTTTTGGATGCAATGGACAAAATCTGTTCATATATATTACTGTACATGCTTCTATACATGAGCAAAATCCCATTCACCATTTCCTACATGCATAATGTTCCATTCAGTCTTAATGGACATTCTCCTTTAACTAATACTTCATCCCCCATTAGTCCATTAAATCAAGGCTGTACTGTAGTACCACAATTGCCTTTTATTATTTGTTTGTTTCTTTCAGCCACTGGCCAGAAGCTTAACGATATAAACAGTTGATCAGATAACTGCTTTTAAATTTAAATTTTTTAACTTTTTATGTGAAATTTCTAAGTAAGCAGTGGTTATCAGAGAAGGCATTTTAGGCAAGCCCACCTTAAATAGTTGGCCATTGGATTCCTGTGGGAATTAGAGTATAGTCAGACTTTACCAGACATGGCAAAGTCCCAGGGTTTAAATCCTAGCCTTTTCTTCCCTTTGTTTTGAGTCAGTGGAGTTTTGGTCATTCTTTTCCCAGTCTTGAAAATTGGAGACATCTGCCCCATGTTTACATAATGTTTCTGTCTGGCTTGAGAATCACTGATTCCCACTTCACCAGTTTCAGTCCTTACAGTAGCAGGAATTAGACAGCTAGTAATGTAAGCTGATTGTATAGCATTTAGATGCAGTGAACAAATGGTGCAATTTTTGTAGATTAACCTGTTACATTTTCAATATCTATGTAGAAATGTACTTAAATAATCAAGCTTCAACAGATGTAACAGATAAGCAGCCTTATTTCATATTTATTTCTGAGGAATTCAGAAATTGGTACTACTGAAATTATACTGAATGTCATGCTCCAGGAAGAATATTTCTACACTCAATAAGCACAAATGCTTCCATTAGATCACATATTAGTGAACTTTGTTGAATTGAATTAGACAGTGGGGAAAAACATTTTTTCTTGCCCCCTGAGGACTATTCAAGTCCTTGTGCTTGGTGTAACAATGAAAACTGTGATTGCTGAGCAGTTAAATCACTAAGGTTGACAAGGGATGAAATGGCCTCATATTTGGCCAAAATTGATCAAAGGATTAATCCCATACTCCAGTAGGATTTTGTCTTCAATGCAGCAAAGTAGAAGATGAGTCGAGATGGATCTCATTGCTTGTTCATCATGTAGCTGCAAACTTTAACTTTAGTAAATATGCTTCCACTGCAGCATTTAACAAATTGACATTGACAAACAGCCTCCCTTCATATAGCTTTACATAGCTGATGTTATAACAGTATAGATCTATTTTTGTTTTTATTATTTGGTAGCGAACAGGTAAGATACAGAATTTTGTCTTAAATGTCATTGTTCTATCCATGTTCATTTTTCTAGACCAATATTTAATTATTAAAGAGGCTTATTAGGACATAGGCTGATAGTGAATACTTAACAATACATTATTTGGTGATAGAAAACATGTGGAAATCATATTCTTAGCATAATATGATCCAAGTTATAATTGTTGTTATACACTTCCTCATGAGATGGGCGGTATCTAAATTTGAAATATAAATAAAATAAAAATACCCTGCAGAGCCAAACAAAGCAACTCAACAAAAACAATGCACAGAAGAATCTTTGAACATTAAGGTTAAAACAGAATTATTATATTGCAATATTATGAAATGAGACTAAATCAGTTGAGAGCAATTTTGTTTTTCAATAAATAATGGTGAGCAAGATCCCCCACACACATACACACACTTTCTCTTATGTTGACTTCCCTAACATTTATATTTAAAATTCGGGGGGGGGGGTTCCATTTGATAGATGTAGATATAGGTTCCTTGCTTCTTATATGGGAAAGTGCAGCTCTCTGTTCTTAATCATCATAAAAAAAGGACACATTAATTCTTTCTCTCCTCTCATAATTTTAGTTCTAGAAACATTGTTGCTAGATATTTCAATTTTTATTATGATACTCATATTAACTAATTGATTAGACTATCAGTTCATGAGATCTTTTGCAAAGTAAAAATAACAGTGTCTGGTTCCTTATATCTTTATGTTTTGCCTGTAGATTGTAGCAACATGAGTAGAATGAGTTAATAATCTAATGCTGTGTTTTTGTATAATGTAATCATTTAGTGTTTATTTTATTGTGTGTACCTTCTACTCAGAGGGTTGGCATTATTGTTCCTAACAGTGATGGATACAAGCAGATCATGCCCTATGACCTCTACCATCCTCTTCCTCGGTAGGTAAACCAAATACTCTATTTAGCAATAAGACAAATATGTTCTTGTGGTTTATTGGCAATCTAACACAGTGACAGTCATTAACCAGCCACATGTTCTTAATTCTGGTGCTTTTTCTGCATTGTTTTCTGCTTTTCTTTACAGCTTAAGCAAAAGATTACTTGTCCTAAATATTCATACAGAATAATTGTTCATGACACCAAATCAAGTCCCTCCCCCCCACTGGAAAGTTCAGTTGAGACTAAAATAAAATTTCATGGTCTTTCTCCTTATATGTGACAGCATGGATAAGTTTGCTAAGTGAACAGCTGAAGTTTCACTGGATTTATCTTCTTAGTTGCATTTGTAGTCTGTTCATTAAAAAACTGCATTTAAGGACATTTTTATAACATGAAATAGATTTAATAGTTATTTCTTTTTCAGAATTATCATCTTCACTTAAAATATTCAAAATCAAGATACAGAAGCTGAATCACTTAGAAATAAAGCTGAGAACCTGGCAGTTTCAGTTTTAATATAGACTTGGTTATCATAGTCATTTATTAATTGGGACAAAGAAAGATATTGTCTGGATCAAAATCTTTTTGCCATTTAGTATAGTTATATATCATCATTAATAACT